AAAGTTTGAAGTCAACCCTACTAACATCGACAGCTAATAAGGAGCAACTTTTAGAAGAACAAGACGAAAAGAAGGAAGCAGAAAAAGAGAAGGGGAGAAAGCATTACTGAAGAATCAAAAGATCAAATTTCAAAGTGGTAAAGTTCGTGCTGCCAAAAGGAAAGTTTTCGACGAATCATCATCTGATTCTAGTTACATTCATTTTTCCAATAACGATAAAGAGCAAGACATTGATGTTGTAAGTTGATAAAAATCAGTTCTCGCAGATTTTTAAAAACTTTTTTTTTTCATTTATTAGTGAGTCGATACTTAATGGAAAAACAATTTGTAAGCTCTCCCGTAATAACATTGGAAGAGTTCTAAACTGTTATAATTTCTGAAGACGATAGGAGATAATGGAACTGCGTGTTTTTGCCCCCAACTACCCTACAAAAGTGGATTGCTCTTTTTGTAGAATATTTTGAAAAACTAACTGGACGATACATATTTTTATATAATTTTACCAATTTTCCTCAAAGTGGAAACTTCATAATATGTAAAATACTCTCTTGGATTTTAAAAATACAAATTTTATATAAATTTATAAAAGGCACATTTATAACAATTAAAATGTTATATATAAATCTGTACGTATTGCATTGTTGTATAATGTAGTGTATACAAGTATACAGTATATAATATATTATATAAATATATAAATATTAATGTAAAATAATAAATATACAATATATAAACCTAAACACACAAAAATAAACATATAATCTCACCAGGTATCAAGTCAGACTAAAACTTCTAAAAGATCTATATTAAAAAAAAACTATTGTTGCATATGCTTAAATCAACATGTGAAAAAAAAATGTGCCGGTCTAAAGTCCGCCACCCAACTATTTTCTATGCCATAAAACTTAAATTAAACACTTTAAGGGTAACTGAACTAATGCACCTATTAGCTCTGTACAGCTGAACAGGTGTCGCCCTCTATAGGATATTATATCATCACCATAATATTTACACCTTGAAAACATTTGAGGAATAGATTACATGAAACTGATCTGCACGCCAGACGTTCATTGAGGCTTCCCATGTTACGTCATGGAAATCGTGGGCTCAGGTTACGGTGGGCACAAGAACATGTGCAGTGAGGCTAACAAGAATGGAGTTCGGTGTTATTCACAGATTAAGCTAGGTTTTGTCTCTATCCTGATTCCTGAAGAGCGAGGGTTTGGAGAGGGCCTGGTCGACAAGATAGACTGAGGCATGTACAGAGTGTACAAGCTATGATGGACTTATTTGAATGGACTGATGGAATAATTTTTTCATCATCGAACTGTTCTCGTTTTGTTGGAAGTCACTTGAAATCAATATCAATATATTGATCGTATCTTAAAATCTGTTGTCCTTCCATTTGCCACTGTTGCAGATCCTGAATTCCCTTACATGCAGGATAATACTGCAGCAAGAGTAAAAGATTGGGTTCATAATGAAGATAGTACACTTTTACCGTGACCAGCAAAATTGCCAGAACGTAATCTCATCGAGCATGTATGGGATATGTTTCAGAGACCGAGTGCTCGCCACCTGCACAATCTTCATGCTAGACAAGGTTGTTAAACTGTTCCTTTTTATGTATATACATAAATATACATCAAATCATTTGGTATTCATCCTACAAGAGGATTTGAAATCCCAGTAAACCCTTTTAGATATAGTTTTATTTAATTCTTTGGAATTTAAATGCTACTGCAATGTTATATTTTTTTATAAGACTATGCACAATACGGTGAATTATCCAGATCTATGATGTAATATTTCTTTTTTGATACCCAAGTTTGAATCACGTCATCCTTCATTATTTTATACCCCTATACCCAGAACTAATATTCTTATAAATTCCCCAGTTATAAGGATGTGCAACTTATTAAATGAAACCAATTCCAATTGCGATATCCATCTATATTATCTTCAGACCATAATCATACTTATATTACAGGGACAATAGCTTTTTGTAACATAGTTACATAACAGCTTTCTTTTCAGTTTTACGCGTTGGATAATGTAATTGTTTTTGTTATATTAAATACCTTTTATGTTCAGCTATTATTTAGGGATATTTCTATATATTTTTTCTGTATTAGGTGTAAGCCTGTTGGAAATAAAGCTGGTATTTATTTACATTGTAAGAAAAATGGCGAAGACATCATTTAGACACAACAATCAAAACAAATGTCTTTCAGAACGTGAGAAGATTTAATTGCCTCGAGTTTTTTCCATAAAATCTGAGGACTACCAAAGTATTTAAGACACTGTATGCTTTTTATACTCGCCATAAATATTGAACGGTCACCATTTTGAAACAGCGAGAGTGAAATGAGTGACACAAGACCTTTCATATTATTCTCGGACGCGACTAGTTCACGTTCGAGACGCATCGCCCCGCCCCTTATTTTTCCCGTTGGCCCCTCCCTGACCTGGAAATCCCTAATCGCTACTTCAGAAAGTATAAAAATAGGCGATTTTCAGGTCAATAAGTCTACGCGGATGATACTGCTCTAGTAACTACAGCAAGAAACGTTGATTCTGTTCTCAGGTACGCTCAAAATCACCTTAGACTAGTTGAAAACTGGTGCAGGAGATGGAGAGTGTCCCTGAATCCGAACAAAACTCAAATGATTCTCTTTAGACACCCTAAACATAGTAAACGTGCGGCCTCCTTTAACGAAAGTAACTATCTCACGCTTTGGGGGAGCGACTCCAACTCCGTGATCGGATTGAATACCTCGGCGTGGCCTTCACCCGAACTCTGAGCTGGAGGGCCGATCTGAACATTGCCTGTGCTAAGGCCAGGAGCAGACTGGGTCTCCTCAATAGTTTGAGATGTAATTTCGGGGCTGCACACCCTAGTACATTAATTTTCACTTATAAAGCTTTTATTAGACCTATTTTTGAATACAGATCCAATATTTACGCTACAATGTCAAAATCTGTCAAAGAAAATTTACTCAGACTAGAGAGGAGGATTCTGCGTAGAGTGAATGGCAAACGTTGCGACTACCCTTCAGCCCTCATTCATCAATTATCTAATATTCAGCCCATAAATGAGAGACTACACTCTCTGAGCAGAAGTTACACTACACGCACAATCCGGGGCCAAAACCTCAGAGCTCAATGCACTCTAAAAACTGTCTGCTCTTCCTGCGGCAATGTATTCACCAGACATCCTAAACCTAAAATCTCACACCTTCCCGCCATTCTACTGGAACTCGCCAGTAACGAACTCCCTGATAAATACATTGACATACAGGAGGCAACTCCCCTCTATTTCCGTCGCATTCCTAGTTAAATTACTCACTTCGAGCTTGCCTAGACAGGGGGGGATCGGTTTTCTGCGGTTTCCCGATCCCACTTGCAAATGATACCTGTCTATTGTGAGGATACAGCCGCAGCTGCCCTCTCGCGCCGCGTCTTAACACATTTACTAATTACAACATATTAATGCATGTATTTATACATATATTAATATCTCATTTTTTCTACATTTATCAATTTAACAAACACTAATACACTAATTATTTTAGATACAATCTGAAAAGAACCGACCACAGCCTTTCTCCACTGATTGTCCTGGCTCAACCCCACCAGTGGATCAACGAAAGAAAAAACAAACCAGAAGCCAACCACCAAAGAAACAAAAACCACATCCTGAAGAGGCAAAAGCCTAAAACAGGATGCCAAAACCACAACAAAAGAAACAAATCCAAAACAAAGAGAAAACCAACACGACAGTGAACATCAGGTCAATAAGTCAGTCCTTCACGGGCACTCCGAGAGCTTAGTGCTCTCGGGGCTCTGCTTCCTTTTTAGCTTTCCATACTCTGTGGCTGAGTATTTTATTCAACAATATTTGGTGTTTTATTTCGACTACTATTTACTTATGTAAGAAATATCTTGCCTTTGTCAAGGCAAGTCACCAAAGAAGACAACCTGATGGTTTATTTCACCGGAGAATTTTCGTCATGTAAGAAATCTCTCGTCTTTATTTAAGACGAGCCATCAGGAGACAAAACATTATGAAGTCCATACCCTGAAAGTGGACAAAAGTAGAGGAGCTCACGATGTTTCCGAACCCCTCTACAGAGCACACAGTGGTACAGAAGGTGCTTAGACCCTTTTCCATTTACCCCGAAGACCCTTTCCATTTACCCCGAGGTGACAATATGAGGTATTACTGAGTATATGATTCCAATTCAAATATTTTAAAAATTATGGCTGTCCGCCATTTTAAATTATTGCGCCAATAAAACAACATAAAATAGCCTACATGCTGTTGCAGGTGCATACGTCCAGATACGCAGAACTTTATTAACTTTTTTTTGTTTTACGTCTAGGAAAACACTTAAACGGACTTTAGACGCTCACCGTATACTAAATATTCGCATAAAATATTATACACTATAAAAAAGAAACGTAAACTTAAAGATCAAATTGAATACCATGAGGAACATATTTTGAATTGGTGCAAGTTAAAGTGAAAAATTGTCAGGAACTGTTTTGTAAAATCTGGCACACTTGTTGCAAATGTGAATTTGATCTAAAAATCGTTTATTTTATACAGCAGTTTAATTGTGTATTTTTGACAATTTGAACCATTTCATCAACAAATTCTTCATTTTGACTGATTTACCGTCGGTGTCGTCAGAATTTGTCCCAAAGTTAGCAAAATATATAAGGAGGGTGCACGTTCGTTGCCAAATGTAAAAGAAAGATGAGTTTAAACATTCAACAGTTAATTACTGGATATAGATCTCACTAATAATTTTCCATCTGTTTAAATTTTTTGTTTTTCTGTTTCAAAGGTTTTTCCTTCAACATATTAGGAAGTTGAATGATTTGAAAACATAGTTCAACTTTTAGAATGCTGCCTAAGTCAGTCTTGTATGACAAGAACCTCAACTTTTTAAGTTTAAGTATCTTTTCCTATGCGAATCTCGAGACCTAGGTATTTAGAGACCACTACTTGGTCTAGTTTAAGCGTTGCCGGAAATAATCCGTGAATATCGGAAGATGCTTAACAATTGCAGCTGTCAGATGGACGAATTGTATTCTCATTAATGTTAAAATACAACTGACTAAAAACAACAAAGTAAACTTACAGTAGATATTTACTTTTGCAACAAGTGAACCAACATAAAAAACTTCATTTCATTAGTAGTGGCATTTATCGGCTAAGTCAAGAACCTTTTATCCTTTAACCTTTTTATTTTACCCTCGTATTTACTTAAAAAAAATCAGCAAATGAACGTCTACTGAACGGCAATGAAGGCAAAAATAATACTGTTGTGTCAGGACGCAAAAAAACCTATAGCACACATATAAATATAATACTAAATCTTATGTGAATCGTTTCTTTTGCGGCAACAATACTTTTTTTATATAATTACCCCTGATATTTCTAAAAGTGGCGTACAGTAATCATACTATCGACGATATCTTTCGTCTGGAAAATAATTACTCCACGCCAAGTTCCAAATAATACAAATACCCATCAGAAGTCCATATGTAATCATGGAAATCCACCAGATGATCCTTTCTGTTCTTGTGACGCTTAGATTTCTTAAAACGTTGATACCCACCAGCAGGCCTGCCAAACCGCCAGCGAAATGTGCGGCGTACCCGATGTGTTCGTTAATGTCTAGAACGTAACGATTGTAGATGGAAGTTCCTATATCGGTGCCCGCTATCACTAAGAACACGAGTAGCTGAGCTATGGGAAACGACATCTCCTTCCAATTCTAAAAATAAAACATTAAATCGGTTTACAAATTGTAATGTTATAAAAGTATACACATTTTAATTTATTACCTTACAATGATTTTTTTTTATTTCCAATTTCTTTTGATTTCGTTTTTTTTGTTCAACTTTCTTGGGAATCATATATTTCTTATCGTGAGCTACGGACGGAGGTATGAAAAAATAAAAACAACAGAAAATCGGTGAAACGCAATGAAACGACAAATAGCGCGTCCACACACTACGTGGAGTAGTAAATGCAGTCCCATATGTGTTTCTTAATAAAATATAATAAAATCAAATAAATTCAAATAAAATAAATTATATTATATATAACAAAAAAATAAAATAAAATAAGATAAAATAAAAAATTAAATTAAAATAAATTAAAAACCATCGCTACGTGCGTAGACTATAAGAAAGCTAAGCTTCCCCTCCTCGGTTACTCCCGTTTTTTTCTAAAAACAGTTGGCAGAATCTTGTTGAAAGGAAAGTAACAAACTAACATAGCAAAAAAGAAAATCTTATGGTATAAAGAGGAATTGAAAACAAAATGTGAAGAAAAGAAGAAAACCTTTAACAAATAGATAAAAACACTAGCAGAAGAACAACGAGGTTTTAGGTCGGAAATATCATGAACCGACGCTATATTTATAATGAAGCAAGTGAAAGAGAAATCATTAGAATACAACAAACCGGTAAATCTGTTTCGTGGAACTTAAGAAGGCATTTGACCGGGTCAAATTAAAGGACATTACCCACTTATTATACGCAAGAGAGATACCTTTAGGAATAATCAATACGATCGAAAATATCTACAAAACAACACAATAAAAGTAAAAGTACCTAGAAGAACTAACTGATCCTTTTGAAGCTGGCAATGAGAGATTCCTTCAGTCCTCTATTGTTCAACCTGATTGTGGATGAAATAATAAAAAAAGTAAGAACTAAAAAAAAACACCAAATGGGAGGAAAACAACTTAAAATAATCTGCTATGCAGACGAAGCAACACTACTCTCTCAAAGTGAAGGCGATTTATAATGTATGCTGCGCCAATTTAATATAACCGCCAAAAAAATTTAACATGTTAATCTCCTCAAAAAAGACAAAATGCATGATTATAACAGCAAATTTACTAAGATATAAATTGGAGCTGGAAGGTCAGATAATAAAACAAGTGATGGAGTTTAAACATCTAGGCATCACATTATTTAGCTGTGAAAAGATCGAAAAGGAAGCGGAAGATCAAGTGAATAGAGCAAGCAGAGACGCAGGTTGCCTGAATTAAACAATATGGAGAATTAAAAATATCGGGAAAGAAATGAAAGGCAGAACTTACAAAACAGTAATCAGACCAATAATAGCATACGCGGCAGAAACACGACTTGACACAGAGAGGACAAAGAATGTTAAAACAGCAGAGAAAAACAACATTTAAAAAATCGATGGTAAGACACTATGGCAGAGTACCTCGAGAGATACCTAGAAGTACAGATATACGATGTAGATGCAAGATGTAGAACATCAAGAACTGGGTAAGAAATAGAATAGTAAAATGGAACAATCATATGAACCGAATGACAAAAAATAGAGTAGTAAAGATAAAGGTTCCCCAATAGGAACATGAGCAGTAGGAAGACCACAAAAACGATGGAACGACCGCTTACTGGAGGCACATTGAAGAACAGACAGTGTCATTTCTACATGAAAAGAAGAGGAAGAAGAAGAATTTTCTTCCGCTTAATTTATTATTTCGTATTCTACGACGCCTGGAAATGATTAGGTTAGGTTAGGTTTTTGGTTAATTATTTTGTTAAGTATGTAATTGGTTTTTTAATAAATGTTTATTAGACACGTATTAGGTTTCACCTAGATTTTTCAGAACCAAAACAAATTCATGAACGATTGTGAAAAGTCTATAAGGGCTTTTTATCGGCAATTATAACAATACATTAAATGATGCATTTAAACGTGGTCATACAAGTATTATAGTACATTATCATGAATGACTTCCAAAAGGTGCATTAACAACAAAAATTACAGAAAAAATCAAGGATGTGGTTTAAGAAGAACGAGGATTAACGGAGAGAGAATTACTGAAGTCATATGAATCGCATTAGGTGATGTGAGCAATATTTTTTTGGTACGTTTTGTTTTAAGTAGATTGGTTCATTGGAACAATGAAACAAAAACACACTCGAATGTCACTTTCTCAGTGAAATTTGGAGAGTTAAAAACGAAACGAATTTAATGTATCGCTTCATAACTTTAAATGAGATTAATTGCTACTATTATGAACCTGAAGATGCTAAAGAGTGGCATCCGGTACTTCAGCTACAAAGTGAATTGGGATTCAGAAATAGATAAAAAATTTGTTAGCATTTTTTACGATGTAAAAGGAATTTTCCTCGTGGAATATCTACAAACAGGTAGAACAATAATCTCAGATTGTTATTACAAACTTTTGGACCAATTGGATAGAAAATTAGTAAGAAAACTTAGTTTACAGAAGAAAAAAAAACTATCACTCAAATTGGTGAATTAAAATAGGAACTATTGAAATATTCACCAGATTTAGTTTCATCTGAATTAAGCTATCATCTCAAACAATTCATCCGTGGCTTCAAATGCAGAAGCCTATTTTACAGTTTTCAGTGAACAGTTTTCTAGATCTTAATTTCAGGGATGGATTCCATAAATTAGAAGATTACTGGGACACGTGTGCTGAAGTTTAGAGAGTATATTGAATATGTAATACAATTTATTTCGAACAAACCCGTGTTGTTCTTTGAACGACAAAACTTATTTTACAATCTACTACTAGTGCCATAATTTGACATTCAAGTTAAAGTTAACTGACAATGTTATGATGTATGTATTGATATATTTTTTTAATAATACTAAATTTAAGTTTAGTTAGTTTAAATTAAATTTAGTCGATCATATACTCATGTTTAAAAATTAACCATAATTTTCTATTAGTAGTTAAAAAGTATTATTTTGATTATTTATTATAGCTTTTGTTATTATATATCTTTACCTTACTGACACATATTAATGAACTATCCAATTTCCTGCAAAATAAATTTATTTTTTAATGATCGATGAATATTCCCACTGCTGATTCAAATAAATATTTAAGCAGTTTTCATTGATTTATTTAAATATTGCTTTCTGAATATATGGACTAAAGTCTGTAATCTGTAATGTATGTTGAAAAGCCAAAAATAATAATATTAAAGCTGTTCAATAAGAAAATAATCAAAATGATACTTTAAATAAAATATTCTTAAAGGTATTACAAAGAACACTACATGAAATGAATTTTGGCTGTGCAAAGACGAGTCTGAAAAGTTCGATTTTAGAGTTTTTGGCTAAAAAATATAATATGTGGACAAAACGTAGTTGAATAAAGATTACACAAAATAAGCCTCATTCTTCTTTGAGATGAAATATTCTTATGTGTATGTTCGGGGAGTCCTGTTGAGGTGACTTTTGTTGCCTCTTCAAGTGATTTGTTCGTTATGGAAGGCGACACTGGTTTCTGGTTGTTGATCCTAGTGTTTGGTGGTGGTTTGTTGGTATCCGGCGGAGTGATTAAGTGATTGAATGAATTTAAGTTGAATATGGTTCTAGTATTACGAGTTGAGGACAGCTGTGGCTGTGACCTTTCTATGGACAGGTATAATTGTGCAGTGAGATCGGGGAACCAGAGAAAACCGATCCCTTCCTATCCGTGTGTAAAGCTCGAAGTGAGCTATTTATCTAGGAGTGCGGTAAAAACCAGTTGTTGCCTCCAGGGTATCGATATATTCGTCAGGAAGTTCGTTGGCAGAGGTTAGCAGTTTTATGGGTAAGAAAGTTCTTTTAGGATGTCTGACCAATACCTTGCCAAATATGAGCAGGCAGTTTTTAATATGTTTTTGGCTTCTGATGGTTTGTCTGCTCAAAGGGGAGAGCCTCTAAAGTAGGATAGGGCTATTCGATAATTGATGTATTAGATTGAAGGGTAGTCGTGTCATTTGTAGTTTACTTTACGAAGAATACTCGTTTACAACGATGGCATCTATTGTGAGTGTTCCGATTGAGCAAACCGTAGATATTGGCCTTGTACTCAATCACGGGATATACATTTTATAAGTGTTTTAGCTTACGTCCGTCCGAATGTTCCTCATAGAGCGATGAGTAGGCCGACTCTTTTCCTATCCCTGTTAAGGGTGGTGATCAGATCTTGTCTCCAGTTTATTGTTTTAATAAATATGACACATTGGTACTCGATCTGATTCCTGAATTGTAGTCAATCGCTCCATAGCCTAAGATTTATTTTTTCTTTCGCAAGCTGTGTGCGAATACCGCTAACGTTGGGATATCTAAAGTAGAGCGTTTTTTAGGACTACTCATCTCCACCATCACCTATCGATATAATTTAGGTGATTTTGAGCGTGCCTTTCGAGATCATCTGTGTCTCGTACTATTGTTATGAGAGAAGTGCCGTCTGCGTAAATTCAAAGGTAAAGACAAAATCAAAGGTAAGCCAAAACTTAAATATTAAAAGTTGACGATAGACTTTTAAGGACATTCAACTTTTTGACGGCTAAAAAGCATCTTTGGGAAGAACTTAAAGCAGGACGTTTCATTATTACGGACATATGTAGTTATTGAGGTTTTTATCAAGGTAGTTTAAATCTGTTTGCATAAAAAAAAACAAGTATCATGAGGATATGAACTAGAATGTTTTTGAAAAGTAGTAGAAACTAGCGAACTTAGATCCATATTGTTAAATAAAATATTATTTTTAGATTCTGACGCCGATTATTGAATAGCGCCTAGCAATCCTGTACCCCTTCAAACATGTACCATTTTTGCGAAAGAAAAAAATTGTAAGCAGAATTTTTATTTAAATAAGAATACATTAAAAATGAATTTAAACTACGATGTTTACATACATATAACAAAAAAAATTGTAATTCAAGTTCGATCACATCAGAGATTCTTCCTTGATTTTCCTTTGGCAAAATCATCAATAATGTCGTCATAATTTATCGCCTTTATTACGTCACTTCCTATGGACAAAATCGACTAATTGTTAAGACGTTCTTGCGTCATAATTGATCGGAAATTATTTTTAATGTCAAAATTAGGGAAAATATTTTTCAGTCCACTCTTCTTTAAATATTTAGATATGTCAATTGGTGATTTTATTGTGGTGTCCAAATGACCCTTTAAGTGAATGCATTCATATATGAATGATATATCTAGGTCGTCTTAAAATGGTGTTTCTTCGTACTTTGGCAATCTGTATAACCGAAACGTTTAAATACCGATAAGACTCCAGACGTCTATTCAGGTCTCTTATCAGAGTGTCGATTATAATATAAAATGTGTGGATTTTCATCTAATCACTAGCTGAAAAGTTTAGTTCATCATCGGCCCCTCGTCAAATTGAATTTTTCTTTTTCTCTTTGTTATTTCTTTTATTTATGTTAGCCAATGTTTGACTTCTTCATAATGAAAATATTTTTATTGAGGTAAAGTAATTTGAAAGAGCTTGATACTCTTTAACGACAGAACCCGGATCTATTGCAGGACACTAGATATACTTATTGGATAGGTTCACTTTTCTAAAATATGTTCGCAAATCACAGCTAATAAAGCCATTTCAAAAGTGTCCATTTTTTCAAATATAGAAAGTGCTTGATGTTTCACAGCTGCAGTTGGACATTCGTCGTTAGAGATATTAAAATTTACTGATTGAATTTCGATTGAATTCACATTAATTTTAATTCACCTCGATTGAATAAACTTAAGACATTTGCCGTGTGGTCCTTCGATTCTTCATGTTGTTTTGATCTGACGCCAGTATTCTTCCAGTCATTAAAACCTGTAGTAAAAGAAGTGGGTTGCGTCTGAAATAGACGACAAGGAATACAAAATGCACTATTTTTCAATGTTGAATAAGGTAGCCAATTTCTGAACTTCATTTCGCCGTTCAACATTTTTCTGAAAAAATGATTCCTTGTTAGGGATCTGTTTATTCCAGTCGAATGCTCTCTAATGGCGGAACATAAAAAGTCAATATTCAGGTCCTGTTGTGGAGGATTCATAATTATTTCTATTGTTCTGTCTTTCTATTATCTTTTGTTTTCTAGAAATTAATTCCCACTTCTACTCCATTGATGGATGTACTTAAATGTTATTCGATTTTAATTTTTATGTACAAATATTTTTTTGTGCAGTATTGTGTATTTTGTGACCTCTCATAATTTGCCGCCCTAGGCAACTGTCTATATTGCCTAATGGATAAACGACCTGACCATAAGGTACCATTACCATTTGACCATTCTAATGAATCACTCTGTAATCCTTTCCGTATTTATCTTTATGTTACATTGTTTATTGACACAGTATTAGAACATCCGTTAAAAACCAAATCAAATTCCGTCTTCCACTTTCACAATATTTATTTAGAAGCCTAAGCAAACAGATAATAATTAACTGAAGTTACGCTTTTACAAAAACAAAGGAAGCTAACATTTACGCTTTTTCTAAAGTGTTCATATACTTTGTCATATATAAATTTATATCTGAAACGTATATTATAGTAATATACAGGGTGTTTCAAAAAGGTATGTCATAAATTAAATTACGCATTCCGGGGATGAAAGTAAATTGAATGAATCCAACTTACCTTAGTACAAAAGTGTACACAAACAAAGTTACAGTTCTTTGAAGTTGCAAAATAAAATTTGTTTTTTGGCATTATCTCCTAAACTACTTGACATTTTGAAATAAAAATGGACATTACATTCTTGTTCTGAAAGCATTTTTCATAAAAAAGAATCAATGAAATCTAAGAAATTTAGAGGGGTGTGCAACCCTAAATATCCCCAAACTTTTGAGTACGTTCCAATCAAATAAATTTTGTAGCATCATTAGTTTTTTTTTTGCCTCTGCATCACTTTTTTCAAAAAACAACTTTTATTGAGTTACGGCCCTTTTCATTAACCTTTAAAAAATTACGTGCAACTAAATAAATGGCTTAAATGAATTAACAAGTACAAAAAAAGTATATAACCTCTATAAATATGATATTACAATAAATGTTTAAAATGACCACCATTTTCTTCAATACACATTCGGTATCGTTTTAATAAGGAAAACCGAATGCGCTGAAAATCATATTTTTCTGACGAAATCGATTTGCACCTTCAATTATTCTAACCCTCAATTGTTGTTCGTCCTCTATTGTTACAGAATACACTTTCTCTTTCATAAACTCCCAAAAGCAAAAGTCCATGGGGTTAAGACCTGGACTTCTGGGTGGCCAAGACATAGGTGCGTCACGACTCTTTCCAATCCAGCGACCAGGATCCTTGCTGTAATGCGGTGGAGGCACATCTTTTAGAAACCACATATTTTGAGGTTTCGATGAGTCGTTTCGAAACCCCAAACGATGAGTCATTTTTTTGGCGTGAGGATTTTCGCCCAAATGTGCTCGTTATGATGGTTTGTTATTCCATTTCTACTGAAGGTAGCCTCGTCAGTAAACAAAATATTTCTACTAAAATTAACATTTCGAGTGTTTTCCATTAACAACCAATCGCAAAATCCAATCCTTTTAGGATAATCTTCAACCAATAACTCTTGAACCGTTGTTAAGTGATAGGGTTTAAGCAACTGATCCTTCAAACGCCTCCAAACCCTTACGTGAGGAACATTTAGTTAAGCAGCTATTACCCTTGTACTTGTTCCAGGGACTTCATCAATGATTTCTAAAATGTCTTCATCAGTTGCATCCATTATTGGACGACCACTATTGCCAGCAACTTGCGGTTGGAATGTAGCCGTTTCCCGTAAACGACGATCAATGGTCAGAAATAATCGTCTATCGGGTGTATTTCGATTGGGTATTTTACTGCATAACGCCTTGCGGCTGCTACACTATTTCCTTAACATTCACCTACGCTATTCCCGATAGTTTATTGAAATCATAATTTAATCTTATCCAACTTACCCAAATTTAAATGCATATCTGACATTTCCTGAAATGTGTAGGCCGTTGAATATCCAAATTTTTAATATTAAACTTATTCACACAATAAATGATAGCTTCAAATTATTGACTATTATTGATGGAACTGTAATTATTGTATCCGTAGAAACTAATTGTAATTTTATGGCCAACTAGGAAAAAACTAATTTGTTAAACTAATGATGCCACAAAATTCATTTAATTTGAACGTACTCAAAAGTTTGGGGGGATTTAGGGCTGCACACCCCCTTTAAAAATTTTCTGTGCGCTTTTTGTTGTTTCTTTTGTATGAAAAATGCTTTCAGAACAAGAAAGTAACGTGTCCATTTTTATTACAAAATGTCAAGTAGTTTAGGAGATAATGCAAAAAAACAATTTTTATTTTGTAACTTCAAAGGGCTGTAACTTTTTTGTGTACACTTTTGTACTAAGGTAAGTTGTATTCAATCAATTCATTTTTGTCCCCGGAATGCGTGATTTAATTTATGACATACCTTTATGAAACACCCTGTATGTTATGTATTATTTTATTCAAAATGGATTACGCTTTATTAATCCATACTATCTTACCATTACTATAGATGCAATATGAGCAGTCACCAGAGAATACACACCGCCACTAGCACCGGCCAATTTCACAGTGGGATCCATGATGGATGTGCCCAAAGAACCAGCCAAGACACCTGCTAGGTATACTATAAGGACTCTCCACCATCGATGTACCATTTCCAACGGTATTCCCAGAAGCACTTGCACCAAAAGGTTGACCAACAAATGAAATACACTAAAAAATTTGGTATCATTTAATTATTTGATTTTAGACATTTTGTTGGAGATCCGAAACACGGTTGTCCCAGAAGCACCTGAGCCAACAAAGAATACACAAACATTTTGAAAAAAAATTTATTTATTTTTCACCATAATCTCCTTTTAGTTCTATACATTTTTCCCAGTTGTGTTCAATATTGTTTCAATGTCTGTCAATGTTTCAATGTTTGTTTTAATGCTATATATAAGTAATAAGTTTTTCTTCTTTTGGTGCCTATCTTCTGTGGATGTTGGCAATCACGGTGGTCCATACAATTTTGTTGACAGCTGCTCTAAATGTTATTGCTGTCCATTGTCTGATGTTCTTCAACCACAATGTCCTTCTGCGCCCTTGAGATCTTTTGCCTTCTAGCTTGCCTTGTAAAATTAGTTAATGATACTTTTTATCGCGCATCACATGCCCTAAGTATGTCATATTTATGATTTTCACGATACGCATAATTTCCAGATCTTTATTCATCTATATATATATATATATATATATATTATATATATATATATATATATATATATATATATATATATATATATATATATATATATATATATTATATATATATACTTTTCACCCACTTTTGTGGGAGGGGTCTTCGGATTTGCTCCAAATTATAGTATGTTATTATACCTTATGAAATATGACTACAGTTCAAATTTAAGCCCTTTAGGTTCACTAGGGCCCGAGAAATCCCTTCTCAAAGGCCCAAAAAAGGCCCTTTTTAGCCTATATTCAAAACGCGTTATCTCGATGTAAATACTTTTAATAGGTCTTATTTGAAAGTTTTTTTTATTACCTTTAAAATGAAACTTTGTAAATTAAAATTGATCGAGTAGATTCAGAGGTAGAGCTGTTTGAAATTTATCATTTTCGTGAAAATCGCGTTTTTTCGAATTTTCAAGCTAGCAGCAAAAAAAATCTTTGAACTTTTAGAGTAACGAAACTTGGTGTGATGATAGTTCTTCATATGTAAAAACAACCTGTAACTCTTATTTTTTGTGTTTTAGCCATTATTGACCTTATCTAACTGCTTCAAAAATTGGAAAAATCGAGTATTAGATATGCATCTAAAGTAAGCCAAAGTACTCGGCAGTTTTGGCATCCTTGAATCAATTTCATAATACTAACTTCTTTTTCTCAATATACATAATAAAAGTACTTACCAAGAGCTTTAATTTAAGTGATGGTAGAATTCTCTGGGTGCTCGAAAACCAAAGTTTGAATTGTTGAAACGTTTTTTATAATTCCAGGTATTAAATCTGTGAAAAGTCGTTTTTGCCTATTAGTAAGTTTATGTAAAATTTTGAACAACTTTGATTTTGTAGCATATAGAAAACTTCTTTAGTCACTTTTCAAATCTATTAGCAATTGAAACAGTTTTTAACCACAATAAAAATGTACCAAGCGGTCTAGGAATGCTAGTACGAATTCGTGCACGCATGTCTGCACTAATATTTTTTCTCTAATAATTTTTGGAATTCTAATAAATATAATAAGCTGACAATAGAGTTTTACCGTATTATTTTACAAAAATCGCTGAAAAAAAAAATAATATAGTGATATTATATATAAAGTATTTTGTGATTTTCCAATAATATAGTAAAAATTTTAATTTATAAATAGTGTGTAAGTTTTAGATGAAATTTTAAATGTTTCTGAACCTGATGAGGGTCTATTGAGAGATCCGAAACGTCATTAATAACTAATGTGAAGTAAAATAAGTTAATAACTACATTTGTGTAATCTGCAAACGTTAGAGTCAATAAATATCTTACGAATATTTCATTTGAGATATTTTGACATAATAATTATATATTATAGATTGCAGATATAACATAATAAATGTATATTAGAGGCTTTCCAGAAAATATCAAAACTTACTTAAGAAAAAAAATATTCGATAATTTCCGAGGAATTACAAAATCAGATAAAAGATTATTATGTAAGTAATGCAAATGTGTACACTTTCCCTGGTAAAAGAGATTATGTAATAAACCACGATGATCAAGGAAGAAAAATTTTGATAAGAAAAAAATTATTGTTATATACTGTACATGATTTGTACTTAAAATTCAAAGAAGAATACAGTGGTAGTGAAAAGGTCCCATCGTTTTCATTCTTTGCAGCTTTGAAACCTGTTGAATGCATACATGCAGGAGACCCTGGTTGTCACACTATTTGTGGTGTGTGCTCAGCATCAAAATGTAAAGCTTAAATTAAATGCAATTTCAAAAAAACTCAATTATAGAGATTTTTAGCAGGTGCTGTTAGTGCATTGAGGACGGGGAAAAGTGTATGACTAATCAATGTAAAAAGTGTCCAAGACAATTAGGCGGTGCAACAAACTTTTGAAAAGATTCTAAAAGAACTTGACATTAAACTATCAACGGAACCATAAGTATAAAATTAATAGGAAGCAGTTTAGCTTCACTTCCAAGTTTTGAAGAAAATGCAGAATATTTCAAAACACAACTTTGTAAAGTATAGATGATTTAACTTTTCATCATTTCGTAGCAGACAGCAAAAAGATATTGATGATTGCAAAAATAAATTAGATTCATACACGTGTATCATTTTAATGGACTTTTCTCGGAAAATTATTCTTTTATTATTCAGCAATCTATTCAAGCATTTTATTACAATAATTCACAAGCAACGGTACACCCTTTTTGCATTTATTTTAAAAACAAGGAAAGTGATCAACTTTTAAACGTAAATTATTGCATGATTAGTGACACTAAGGATCATTTGGCTTACACAATAAAGCGTTACTGCAAAATTAATGGCCGAAATTAAAGAGAATATAGCTAATCAAGTTCTATTTTTCAGATGGAGCACCTCAGCAATACAAAAATAAGTAATAAAATTTCAATTATTTATAAATATTTAACTTTATAATAATAAAATGTTATCATGATTCTTTAATTTGAAATTGTTATTTTCCGCCTAGGAATCATTTGGCTAATATAATATGTCACGAAAAAGACTTTGAATAAACGTAACATCATACAATTTTTTTGCAACCAGTCATGGGAAATCTCTCCATGTGATGCTACTGGCGGTACTATAAAAAGACTGATTATGCTGGCATTGTATAAGGTCACATCCAGAAGCACAAATCACAAATGCAAGTGAGATGTATGAATATGTAAACAATAATGATGTTACAAATATAAAGTAATTATATAAAATTATTTTTTAAATATCATGATAAAATAAATGTTTATAATTGTATGGTAATTTTATAATTTATTACAGAGCCTTATGGGTACCAAATAATGAGTACAAAAATATGAGTGCCATTTGCGAAAGCGTTTCAATGCTATTAAAACATTTCCAAATACTAGAAAGCATCATTCTTACATTCCATTAGAAGGAAAACAAATGATAATGAAGTTCACCTCTTTTGCTGAAGAACAAAAAATTATTGATGTAGATTTACAATAGTTCTAATGATTAAATATAAACTTTTTATATGAAATAAAAATAAACATAAAATAAAGATAAAAAGTAATTAACGAATTTTTACCAATGAAATATTCTGGTTAAATATGTAAATTCAAAGTTTCAAGTTTCACAGGAAATCAAAATACTTTTCGTATTATTTTTTAAGTAAATTTAATTTAATTTAACTAAATTCTTGTATTATTTTTTAAGAACATAATATTATAGTAATAGGTAATAAAATGTTTTAAAACTAAATATGTACTCGTTTCATTCGATAATAAAGAAGTTTTCTGTATGCTACAAAATCATGCTACAAATCAAAGTTGTTCAAATTTTACATAAACTTACTAATAGGCAAAAAGGACTTTTCACAGATTTAAAACTCTGAATTATAAAAAACGTTTCAACAATTCAAACTTTGGTTTTCGAGCACACAGAGAATTCTACCATCACTTAAATTAAAGCTCTTGGTAAGAACTTTTATTATGTATATTGAGAAAAAGAAGTTAGTATTATGAAATTGATTCAAGAATGCCAAAACTGCCGAGTACTTTGGCTTACTTTAGATGCATAATACTCGATTTTTCCAATTTTTGAAGCAGTTAGATAAGGTCAATAATGGCTAAAACACAAAAAATAAAGAGTTACAGGTTGTTGTACATATGAAAAACTATCATCACACCAAGTTTCGTTACTCTAAAAGTTCAAAGATTTTTTTGCTGCTAGCTTGAAAATTCGAAAAAAACGCGATTTTCACGAAAATGATAAATTTCAAACAGCTCTAACTCTGAATCTACTCGATCAATTTTAATTTACCAAAAGTATTTTTAATTAGCCCATTCACTATTTATGATTTTTTTAAAAATAACCAAAATCTTTAAATTTTGTCCGCACTAATTTAGTCCCCGACAATGGATCTTGGGATCTACGATTTTGAAAATTGTTTTATAAACAGCTGACGTTATAACAAAAAAAAAATAAGCTATTCTAAATTAAAATCGGTTTATAGGACATCGAGCTTCTTGAATATAGGCTAAAAAGGGCTGCTGAGAAGGGATTTCTCGGGCCTAGTGCACCTAGAAGGCTGAAATTTGAACTGTAGTCTTATTTCATATGGTATAATAACATACTATAATTTGGAGCAAATCCGAAGACCCTTCCCACAAAAGTCGGTGAAAAGTATTGGAATTGCTCATATATATATATATATATATATATATATATATATATATATATATATATATATATATATATATTCATCTTTATTCATACGTTGGATCACGGTGTTGTTTGTAACATGATGGATATAGGAAGTTCTGAGCATGCGGCAGTAGCACCAAAGTAAGCCAATTTTCTGTTTTTTTACGGTGTTGATAATTTCTTTGTCTTTTCTTAGCCTCTGGAGAATAGTTATATTACTCCTGTGGTGTATATATATGAGACCCTCAACATACGTCAGTAGCACCACATTTCAAATACCTCTAATCATTTTATGGCATCTTCTGTAAGGCACCAGCTTTCTACTCCATAGAGGACACTAAAGACGTAATATGTAAGAATTCTTATGCTTATATTGATACTTAAAATGCGAAATAAAAGTTTTTATTTCGTAGCTATGATCCCAAGTACCCTTAATATTGCAGCCCAAATAGCATATTTGTTCCACTCTTTCTAACGGTGTATCTCCTATTGTAATGTGGGCGTTTATGTTGGTGTTCTTACTAATGATCAATATTTTTGTGTGTTGCAATTAAGTTTTAGGCCGTATTTGTTACATGTTTCTACAACATTATCCATCATCCTTTGGAGCCCCTACGCACTATCTGTCAGGAACACTGTATCGTTTGCATATCTAATATTGTTTATAAGTTGGCCTCTGATCTCTAATACCGTTCGTAAATATTTCTGTGGTATCTTCCCAAGCAAGATAAATATGATTAAAAATGCCACACAAACAAACTCAATTAAGAACAAAATAAAATAGTACTTACCCAACGTGAACAAACATATAGGTAATATATCTCCACACCTCCCTTCTTCTCGACGGCTCATAAATAAAAAGTGTGGCACACGGTCCACTGGCGTATTTCGTAGATTCGTATTCTGCTGCTTCGTCTATGCAGAAAAATATTATTTCTACCAACGAAATAATTAGCATTCCCACAGCGGGAGGGTAACATGAGTATTCTTCTTCGTATAAACCGTCGGTAACTGTAGTGGGAGTTCGAGGTATCTGTCGTCTGGGCACTACCCAGTTTATATACCTAAAAATGATGTTTTACAATAATTATAGATATAAAACAAAATGACGGTATTAGATTTTGATTTGATACAGAGCAGAACAAGCCGCATATACGTATTTCGATCTCTTTAGATCTCCTCAGTACGGTATAGTTACTACTCCATATCAAACCAAAATATTTTCCCGTCGTAGATTATAGTTATTAAAAATAACTATTTCCGGACGTAACTACGCCATCTAAGAACAAAAAGAGAAATCATACGATTTCTACCTGGCGAAATCGAATTCAAATATAAGCCGCCGTGCCCCCTAAGACTTGCGAAGCAAACATCTTGATGAATGCATCGGCAAGGGAGTCTAAAAATTGCACTCCAAATGCCGTTCATCATGGCCTATATTCGTATATATAACTATAATAACTATAATAACAATAATAACTATACCGTACTGAGGAGATCTAAAGAGATCGAAATACGTATATGCGGCTTGTTGCTGCTCTGTATCAAATCAAAATCTAATACCGTCATTTTGTTTTGTTTATTTACTTCATTTGGAGTACCAGAAATCGAATTCACTACGAATATAGGCCATGATGAACGGCATTTGGAGTGCAATTTTTAGATTCCCTTGCCGATGCATTCATCAAGCTGTTTGCTTCGCAAGTCTTAGGGGGCACGGCGGCTTATATTTGAATTCGATTTCGCCAGGTAGAAATCGTATGATTTCTCTTTTTAATTATAGATATTTTTCTAAATACATTACGATCATATTGGTAAACTTTTTCTCTACAAATCAAAATATGCCACGAAAATTAATTACGCCTTACGGCAAAAGAGACGGCACTTCAAATTTGTTAAGTTTAAGTTGTTCGTTAAGTTCAAATAAGTTAATTTTAATTGCATCATTGAAACTTCGAGGAATTGACTATAATATTACAATGCTGGCCTATAAATAAGTCAGATGTCCATTAAGAGTTCCAATTATATATTGTGGAAATCGTGGGCTTTCACAGAAGAATAAAAAAAGGCATAAAAAATCATATCAATATACAGTTTACTACTTAATGGAGATTATCTACTGCCAATCACAACGTTTTTTAGATTATACTACTTGACTTGTAATGAAAGTGTACATCGTATAAAGTGCGTGGTTCTTAGTGGCGGAATATTCGCAATAACCCATTGGCTGACAGGACAGTCCTTCCTTACAGTAGGGATTCCGGAGTGCACAGAAAAATATAAGCGGGTGCAGGTTAACACTGTGCTTTGTATCATGTAACACATGACGCCGATAGAAAAGGTATTCAATCATCATATGCTCAAAAATCTTTTAAGGTAATAATAATGAATTGACCTTCTCCAACGTAACAAAAATTATACTGAAATGAGGAGATCTCCTGAGGTAAATATTCTGGAGCCACAGGCCCCGGATTGCTGTGAGAGTATTTTACAGGGAACAACATTGCAGGTTGAAAAAAAAAATAGGATAGGGTCTTGAAATCTTGAAAGTCTTACAGGCAAGAATGTAGTGTTAGTAGATTCATTTAAATTAGAGTACAAAGGACCCCGGCATTTTTCATATGTAAAAGTGGTCTCAGGTAAATTGGCTGTAACTTTGCAGAAATTTAGCTTTGGTCATGCAAGAACCAGAAATCATTCGTTTCTAAGTTACAAAGCTTCAAAATCTGAAATTTGTTATTGATAAGTGTTGGATGTTGTGTGTTTGCTGCTCAAATTGGTCAGATTGATAATGAAAGAATACTTTTCAATGATTAGTTAGGAGTGTAACGTTTCAATCAACCAATTGAACGTGACACCAAGCTCCGGTTGGTACTTGTCCCCCGTATTCCCCGTAGTCTCGTTATTCCAAAGCGACCTCACTAAATTATAAGTATTTTTAGTAGCCGTTCCACTCTATATAAGCCAATATGAATTTTTATTCGCTCTCTTTAATCTTATCACTACAATCATTCTTAATGAATTTATAGTCACACAAATTGGTTATTGTCTTGGCCGTATACACAGCCACTACCGTGGGGAGCAGAAATAGACACCTCACTACCGTGGGGAGCAAGAAATATAGTCGGTTCGCTATATTTACGCGGGTTTCAGATTAACAAAATTATGCTAATGACTCATTGATAACCAGTTGCAGTAAACGACTTCCCAGAAAATTAGGTAAAAACTGCATTAATGGTCATATTTTAAAATACATTAAAATAACATTAGGGTAGGTATAAATTTGTTACAATATTGCAGTTGAATTGATTCTTTGCTAGTGTTGACATTGTATGTTTGGTGGAAATATTTAAAAATGCCTAGACGTGTGTTAGATGTAGATAGTCTAATTTGTAGTGTACATAAGTATTTTACGGATGAAAAAGAAAATGGCGGTCCTTTAAAATCGGTAATGTCTGTTGAACAACGTGTATGTGATGCTCTAGGAATTAGTGAAACCAAACTAAGAGGAGTATTACAAAATCGCAATAATAAACGGCCGAAAGAAGAACACCGAAAAACTCGCCTATCATTGAAAACGAAAGATATTCCAGATGGAAAAAAATTTGAAATTCGTGATACCATTTATCGAATGCGAGCTAACAAGGAACATGTGACCTTAAATATAATTCTCTCGGAATTAAAAGATAGAAAATTTGACGAAATTGGCAGAACAAGTTTATGGCAAGTGATACATAATTTGGGTTTCAAATTTCAAAAGGAGGATGACAGAAAAGCCCTTTGTGCAAGAAGTTCTGTTGTGCATAAAAGAATTAACTTTCTAAGAAAATATTCTAAATTAAAAGAAGAAAGGGCAAATTTTATATATTTAGACGAAACATGGATATTTTCTACGGGTGCAACCAAGGAATATGGCAAGATGATAACGTAAAGTCTATCAAACATACTGATGGAGAAGGGAAGCGACACATAATTTTACATGCAGGGGGAAATCGGGTTTTATAGAAGGTGCTAATTTAATATTTTCATCTAAATCAAAATCAAGTGACTATCACGATAATATGAACACATAAATGTTTGTAAAATGGTTACATGAAAAACTTCTCCCAGGTTTAAGTGAGCCCAGCGTAATTATTTTAGACAATGCGCCTTCCCATTCTGAAGTATTAAACAAAAGTCCAACGAATTCTTGGACTGTTAATAAAATTAAAGAATGGTTGACAAAGGAACATTATACCATTTACACAACATATTTTAAAATCAGAATTATTACGCTTGGCAAATATCCACGCAAAACCAAACACCTTTGTTGTGGATCAGATTATTGAAAGTTACGGTCATCAAGTTTTACGTCTGCCACCATATCATTGCCAGTTTAATCCCATCGAATATATATGGGGAATAGCAAAACAATATTATGACAACCATACTGGGCCTAACGGTTATAGCGACGACGCAGTTCGGGAAACTTGGCGAAAGGCACTTTTAATTGTAACTCCAGAAGTGTGGTGCAACTGTATATTCAAGTACGAGAAACTAATAGAAGATTGGTGGACTCGTAAAAATAAAATAAACGAAATAAGTCCAATCATAATAACAATTAATGGTGATGACAGTGATGATGATGACGATTATGATATTTTTGATGATAATAACTGATTTTCATTTTTGTTGGCAAATTTTTTTATTTTTCATTAGAAATTCTCTCAATGGAACAAATATACATAGACCATATTTTCTGTGTGAAGTGTAATATAAAATTATTATTAGGTTTATATTAGCCACATTAGACTCCATTAAGGAAGTAATTCTCCTTATTATACTGTCAATTATATAAAAGATTTTCCATTATTATTTAATTAAAAAAAGTTATGGATTATTTTTCATTTCATTTGACCAGTTGATATTTCCCCAAAGAGCAGGTAATTAAAACTGGGTACTTACAATAAAATTTTTAATCCGAAACCCGCGTAAATATAGCGAACTGACATTAGACAACCACACTACCGTGGGGAGCAAGATTTTCCATTATTATTTAATTAAAAAAAGTTATGGATTATTTTTCATTTCATTTGACCAGTTGATATTTCCCCAAAGAGCAGGTAATTAAAACTGGGTACTTACAATAAAATTTTTAATCCGAAACCCGCGTAAATATAGCGAACCGACTTTAGACAACCACACTACCGTGGGGAGCAAGGAAACAGCCAATCACAATACCTTGGGCAATAATCAGTAACCACCTACCAATCCACTGATGGTAGGTGGTTACTGACCACCATTATACAGACCAGCAACTCCCCTTAACTCAACCAACAACCACCGACAGCGGCTCACTTCCACAAAGATCGGAACCCTCCTAAAGATTTGAACGACTCATTCAGAACGAACTAAAGCTGAGTACTATTTTATACTTTAGTTATTTTATACCGGCAACCGGCATAATCTTCGAGTCTCAGTTTAATTTATTTTTGTTTCACATTCATAATTTGAATTCTGTTTATTTTTTATTTAATAAATAAATATACCTTTATTATGACTTAATAAGTATTTTTATTTCCTGTATCTTTCTGGAATTGGTGTAGAGAGAGAATGAACAGGGAACGAACCCAGGGCTGAGCAGTCGGGCAGAGCACCAATCTGATGGAAGGAACGGTGAGCGTTTTTCTCTTGAATATCCTTAGGGATATTCGAAGAATCGCTCCCCTCGTTTCTTCCAGCAGTATGGCTTAACGCCCTGGTCTTAATAAGATTAAGACGTTACAGGAGATGCACTTAGAGATATTCCATCGGAGGGGAGAATCATAATAGAAGATTTTAATGCACATGAGGGTCAATCCAAGAAAGATTATGCAGCAATACTATATAATATAAACGCCACTTAATTGTGTATTGTATAAACAGCTACCACGATTGGACTGTGGCGGAATGTGCCTAATGGAAGATGGAAAATGTTCTGATCATTGACAATACGGTTATACAAATAACGATACTAAGGTCCGGGCTTCAGTCTGGTAGAGATTCAGGGCACAATAATAGAGAAAATTAACTTAAACATGAAAGA